ACAAAGTTTATTAGAATCAAAATTTTATGTACAGAATAACTTGTCTAGATGATGTGGAAATGTACATTAAGAAGCATTTAGAGGACACCAATTAACAGCAAACTTACTAAACTAATCAGTGAACATTTTAATTTATAAAATAATAACCAGTCACAATATTCAACAGCTAATTTTCTTCAAGTATTTTTAATTGTGATGGACAGAAAAAAGCTTTTACCTATTCTTTCCACCATAATTGATAATTACCTTACACATCCTCTTTTTTTATTTTACCTGAAAAAGGAAATCAGATCTCTTCAAATGCTCAGACTAGTTTTCCCCTTTGGTTTTCTTTTTAATATTTGTTCACAATATCTTTATTTTTTAGCCAGTTTGTGTTTTTCATTATATTTCTTTGTCCTGGACACATCAGTTTTGTGGTTAACTATTTTTTTCTGCAAAACAACCACCAGTCAATGATTTTTTTCTTTTAGGAAAGAAAACTCTCTATGGTAACATGCTTTTATAAAAATGATACAAAGCAGAATGATATTTTAATCCTAAATATTCATGTTTGCTTACTTCAGATGCTTATTAAATATGTAACAGGAAAGAAATACAAATCTACTGATTGTTTCCAATTTTATTTTCATTATGACATACTCAGAGCTATTGAGGAAGATAGGTGTCTGCATCCTCTAAACATGCAACCTTTCAGGAGTATTGTTCTCTGGATCCCTTTGATGATTTTGGATGGTCAGGTTTTGTAAGGCAAAAGCTGTAAGCTTGTAAGCTCTTTACAGTAGGTGTCTGTGACTTATTTCAATAAATTTCAACTATAAACAAACATCAACACAGTCCATGTTTAACATCTCCAGTACGACCATCTTGAAAGATCAGTTACAGTACTCCCTTCCAATCCTCTATTCTGTAGGTCCCCTTTCCCTTTGTCTTGACTTTCTCCCAGGCATTGTCCCAAAGTTTCTGCAGTGAAGGGTCTTCCATCAGTTCCCGTAAACCTACATTTGGGATGTCATCTTTTGAGACTTGCAGGGGATTGATGTCTTGCTTGCTTTTCTTGAGCTCTAGTGGGGAGTGCAAATGCCTCAGTCTTCTTTTGGTCTGGTTCCTCCAAACTTCAACTGCCTGGTATATTGACAATCACCAAATTGTGATGGGTGCTTTCATATACATGGCCTCAAGGTCTCCCACGTAGTATGGAGTGTCCACCTATATTCTTGGTATGGGAAACTTTCTCACTGTCCCATCAATCAACACACACAGATGTACTTTGCCCATCAGATACTATATTGGTTCTCACTGCTGCACCCAGTATCTTGTAGGACTTTCTTGTCCCCAACATAGGCTTCATCTACTGACATGTTGGGGTTTGTTGGCACCTCTCAATGTTTGTCACATGCTGCAATCACTACTGGCACTGTTGACCCATTTGCTAACTTGACTGACCATCAATCATGCAGTGTTTAATCATGGTGACATTCATTCTTTTCTTGTTTCTTGCCAGCACCATCTTTGTGGGTAGCTTCAGCTGGTTTATGTTGAGATTTCTGCTGCTCCTTGATGACAGATTTGCTCCATTTTATGACAAACAAAGTAATCTTCTCTCTTTGTTCTGTTGACTTCTTGTTACCTTTGGTGGCATCCTGCTTCTGGTCAGCAACTCCTGGTTTTGACTTCGACTGGTTATTCTTGGACTTACCAGTTATATTCCTTCCACAGGGTTTCATATACTGTTCCAACAGCTTGGTCATCTCATCCAAGTCTTTTGGTGTTCTCTTTTTTAGGAACAGTGACATGTCAGTAGAGCAAGTGATCATGAACTGTTCACGTATTAGTAGATCAGCCAGTTCTTTAAACTATCTTTACACTTGACCATGTCAGTCCATCCTGATTAGTATTGCTATAAATGTGCCACAAACTAAAATACAGTTTCTCCAGTGTCAGGTTTGACCTCTCTGAGCTTCCAGAGAAAGCCTTCCTTGGTAAGTTCATGGTGCTTCAGCAAGGCCACTTTTAATTTGTCATAGTCCATGACATCTCCTGATATCACACCCACATACACTTGTATGCCTTTGTCTGTGAGAAGAGGGTTGAGACAGACTGCCCAGTCACCTTTGTCCCAGTTCTGACTTTGGGCAAATCTTTCATACCTCACCAAGTAAGCATCCATGTCATATTTGTTTTCATCAGAATTGGGCAACCTGCATTGGTTGGCCTTGACCCCACTGTAATTCTTGGGTCATCCTCCAACTTTCTGTTGGGTGAGCTTTGCAATCTCAATTTCTGCTATTATTCTCTCTATTTGCAGTCTCTCCTTTCTCATTTTAGGCTTGTGTTTCACATTCACATTCTTCTTTCAGTCTCTCTCTTTTGTTGATGCTCTTGTCTTTCTGCATGTCTTGTTGTTGTTTAACAAACTCTTGTAGATCTCCATCTTTTAGCCAAAGTCGCTCCCCCCTCTCTCTATCCACTTATCAAAGTCAATCGACATGATTATATAGTGTGGTCGTGACTTTATAATATTTTTGTCACCACTACAGATTTCTGTATATAAGCCTCTTTCCTGCTGTTGTTTACACCTTCTACTGTCAATTATCATTGTAGATCCTGTTTGGCTTGTCACTGTCAGGTTTTGTAAAGCTGGATTCTTTACAATAGGTGTCTAACTTGTTGGCAATAAATTTAAACTATAAACAAACGGCAACACAGTCTTCTTGTTTTAAAATAATATATTAAAAACAAATTTAATGTATATATTAATGTTTGTTACACTGTTGGTTACCACAGTTGTGTCCAAAGCTTTTGTCTCTTTTTTGTCAAAGTCAACAGAGACTGGTTCAGTTACTTTAGGAAACAATTGACAGATAAATTATTCTCCTCTGCTCTATTATTACAATACAGTCTGTGACAATTTTACTTCAAAAATCACCACTATACATTCTTTATCGCTAAATTAACAATCACGCAGTCTAGAACTAGAACTAAATAATGATTTTTGACACATATTTATACCCTGAAAGAAGTCTAGAACATTTCATGCAATAATACTCAATTAAACCAACAAGAACCTCAGAAAGTTCTAGCAACATGACACAATAACCTCACTATTGTAAACAACTGAACTACACAATGTATGATTCGTAAACAGTTATGCAAACAAAATAATAAAATGTCGCTTCTAAAAATAATTAAATATGACACCCATGCTATAAGCTATCTAAATCATAACACTCTTACTAAACTTAAACAGTCATGCATATCTAACATAGATGCTTGTCCAACTACAAATCAAGCCCTCAAGTAAATTGTTTTTTAATTTTTAAATCATGCTGAAGCAGTTACATTGCGAGGGTAGCAGCTTTAGAATGTTGATATGCTTACATAGCACTTAATGTTCAGCAAGTAATGCATGTTTATTACATGACTGCATATGTGATGGAATGTGTTTTGGTACCATATCTTTACATTGATTCCGACCATTTGTAAAAAAAATTCCTTGTCCTGAATTTGAAAAACACCAAACAGTACTGTATTATACATGCATCTAATGAAAAAGTTATACCCAAAACTACAAAAGATGTTGCATTTTACTTGGACTGGAAAATGTTTGGAAACTGTCAAGCCAGCTATTAAATTTGTTTCCAGATTTAAGAAAAAAATTTGTCATGATGTTCTATCTAAAGCTTTAACTGTTGAAGCACAAGAATGCAACAAAAAGAGCATTTTTTTTTCATTTTTGATCCTATTAACTTTTTCTCCAGACGAGGTTAATTGAGGTGGCCCACCCTCGTTACCATAACATAATCATTAGTTTTCACACTAACTTTTAATGTTTTGTGTATCTTCAGAATATTTGGCAAGCTGTAAGTAAACATTGCAAGTATTTTGTACAAAAAAATAAGATTTTTAATTAAGTATTTTTACTAAATATATCTGTGAATATATGGAACTATGAGTGCAAAGTGATTTTCATGTTAATATTAAAAATACTTTTCTTTATCTTAAAATTCAAATTTCATTGATATAACCTCTAAAACCTCCTAAATAAATATCAAACTTTTTTTTATTTAGTAAAATTTATATTCTATTTATTTTCTCCACCTAACCCTATACATTTAAGGTTGATTTGACTGACCTAGTAACCATCATACAAAAAAAATCTAAGTTAGTCTTTTTTAATTTCTCAAATGACTGTAGATTGTACCAGAAAACTTAAATTGTTTATTTTAAATAGTTTAAATCTCATAAAAGTCAACACATGTTTGAACTTAATTTTGTTTTATTGCCCTCTGAACCATGTCTAGTTAACAATCCCACCACAAAAGTTGTAAATCATTTTGCAAATGTATAGCTCATGTTCAGTATTGAATAATATAACACATGAGCTGCTCACAAGCTTATTTAATGAAGAATTATTATTATTTTTCATTATTTTACCTTATCTAACAAGTTTATAATTTTTACAATTTTGTTACTTTTATATCAATAAATAAAGAGCACACATGAAAAACAAGAAATATAGTACTTATCTTTGACCTTCTTTTCTGCCATCAGTTGCCAATGAAATTTAAGCAATTTTGTTTAATATAATGATGGTACAAGTACACTAAATTTTTATTTACTTAAATAATGCATCTAAGAACACAGATTATTAACACATAGAAGCAATGTCCTATAACAATTATAATTTAACTGGCTTTCAAAAACAATTTAAATTAATTCCCTTTTGTTGCTCAGTCTGTACACCATCAGATAAACTTTGAAATTGAAGGCAAAATTGGCAATATTCTGTACTGAAAACAACATAACATTATACATCATTTGATAGATTAAAATGCTGCCTTTTTATTTGTTATAAATAATATAGTATAAAACATGAGAGAGAACTATTGGCAAGTTGTAAGAGAGATGTGACAGGTGGGCAGTGCAAGTGGATCTAGTTTTCTAGTTCCTTAAACAAATAAGGTTAAAGGTTATAAAAATCATAGACTTAGCTATATTACAATAAACAATTTGTTAAATTCTGTACTTCAGAGAGGGATGGTAAATAAATTAGGAAAGGGAGAAGATCTACAGAACCAATGTCATGATTCTCATACTAGGGAAGATTGAGGATTTTATAAAATATTTTCTTATAAAATTAAGAACATAAAAGTTATATAATATTATAATTGGATTAACTGTATTTTGATGCCAAGATCATTTGTGTATATTGAAAATAAAGTGGTTTAATTAAATTTTGAATGTAATTCTTAAAAGTTCATTACATGCATGCTTTGACCTACCTCTAGCAAGAGGGTTAAGGGATTAGTTAAAAAGAAACAATGTTTTTAAAATTAAAAAACTCACCATATTGAGCCATTGTGTCAAATTCCAAAGTTTCAGGAAACCAGAAGTTTTAATTTGTGGAAAATACCTGAACAAAAAAAATTTTTTTTTTTATTACTACTCAAAAGATTTTATACAATACTACTACTACTACTACAAGTAATTTTTATTCTTCGTGAGTTGCTGAATATAACACTGCAGCTCACTTTATAATTACCATGAATTTGCACTTTCAACACCCAAAAGTTATCACTATTAAAAAGAACCAGATCTTCATTCATCTACAGCCCTTAATATTTCAAAAATCAGTTTATCATTAAGGTTTCATTATAGGCATACATAATGATCAAATTCAAATAAGTATCATACAAATTATGTTTACTGCTACATGTTTTGGAAAAGTATTCCATTCAAGTGTCAAAAGTGTTATTCAGTATCTGGCCACATATTTGGTTTGGTAGGATATTAGTACCTAGTCAACAGCCACATTTGATATCTTTGTATCATTTACTAATAACAATAAAGCTACTACATGCACTAGAAAAAGAAAATTTATAAATAACAAACCATAATCAAAAATTAATAATTTTATTAATGTATAGCAATAACATTTTTAGGAAACATTTAAAAAAGTTATTAAACTTATCAATACCAAATTCTGTGTCCATAAATTAGTTTAATTTTGCTACATGATCCTGCTTTCTTATGCTAAATAAATTATATTAAACTTGAAAACGTATCTTTAGTTTCCACCACAATAATGGATTAGATTGTTACTTTAAAAATGATTGCAATATATAGAAATTACACAGGTGACAAAACTGTCTCATCATCCATTTCAACAATATCATTATCACCAAAGCTTCCTGCAGATATTTTAATGAAGCAATCCCAAATTGACTCAAGTCTCCTGTTGTTCACTTTACCAAGCAATGGTTAGAAGTTATCTATGTCACTTCCACTATACCAATTATGAACCACAAGAGGAGACACTTAACAAAATAGGGTACACAATTGTTTTTTTTAACATACAAATAATATTTATCAAAATATAGCAAAGTTAAAAAAATCCCAAGTTTAAGAACTTCATATGTTAATAATTTACTAGTTTTGTTTATTCATATAGTCAAAGTATTTGATCAGTTAAACAGATTCATAAACTGGGACCAAAAGTTAAACAAGTGAGTTCAGCTTATAAATTGCTGCTGGTCTGGTAGGTTGTATTGTGGTTGTGCTTTCTTCATCAAGCAGAAAAACCCTATATGATTATCATTAATATCTCACACAGTAGTTTCTTTTTCTGATAACTTTCCTGAATGGTTTGTTGTTTGATAAACACCCTGGAACTTCAAACCACACTCTCACCTTTGATATTAAATCCAGTAAACTAAGTTTGTTGTAAAATGTTTGTCTTGGACATGTATTTTGCAGGTGGCATGTATCTAAGTAGTAGAAGTTGCTTTCCCTTTGTCACCAGGTGAAAGTAATATGCTATACAATATTCACTGATTATCATGAGTGGTATAAATGTCAGGTCTGTACCTGTCTTATTTACTGACTATTGCAAAGACAACCCCTACTGATATATTAAAGGTTGCATATGTTGTAAAGTATGCTACACATTAAGATTTAAAGAAGCACTGGCTATGACCAGAGAAAAATACTGATCGTAATTTATCTCTTGAAAACATATTATTGGTAATTGTAGACACTAAACAGAGCCAACTAAAATGAATACTCACCAGGAATAATATGATCCAATGTGTGTAATTTTACATTTTTCTAAAATATATTTACTTACATGTTCCACAGTCAACAAAGTCCCACAAAAGTGTTTAAACTTTGAATATTTGGCCAAAGGTCACCATGAATAATCTCAAAAGTAGACTTTTCTTTCCTCTTTCCATATCACTATTGATCATTTTCCTATACCTATTCTATTTCAACAGACTTCTGAACCACCTTCTACATGAATATATATTTTTCATTCAACATAAAATTTAGATTAATGTAAGTATAAGAAACTACCTATCTAAAGTAAGATTTTTATATCATATGATTAAATAGCACACTACAACTTAGAAAAAATTTAATTTTGTTTCTATATCTCATTTGGCTACAGTCTAACAACTAAACAGCAAGGTTTTATGTTTGAATGTGTGCTCCTACTTCATGATACATCAAAATGCTTGAAATTAACAGACTGTATAGAAGTGTATGATTGATACTTTCATAGTATCATCAGATAAACAAGTAATTATATCAAATATTTCAAGAGCTAAAGGGTGTGTAACATACATTCACACACATGTCAGCAACTGTTAATAGTAAATTTCAAGAGGCTCATTACACTGGAAGGTACAGGTGTGGTAAGCAGTTGGCATATACAAACCTCCTAGTTTATTCTATATTATAAACAAAATTTTGAAATTGTTTAAACTTCATAATGAAAAAATATTTCATCTAAGCTATGTGCTCAATTAGCCTAAGGTTACTCTATGGCAAGAATCAAAGGATGTTATATGTTGTCTCATGAGATAATTGTACTAATAGAGAAAGGCCACTTTAAAACTATCACATGAGATAAAGTTATATCTGGATTATTAGAATCCAACACGACTGATAAGCTATGGGAAGAAAATGAATTGTGAAAGCAATCTTGGCATTTTCAAAGATATTCATTTCTGCTTTAAAAAAAAAAAAAAAGACTTACTTGTGAAGTTTCATATATTTTGTTCCATATTTCTGGCCATGCGTAGATTTTTTAAATCTAATCAAACTCAGTTTCATTCATTTTTCACTTACTGAGCTGTATGTTATTTCATATTCTACCAAGTTAACAGATTAGTTACTGCAGTTTGATTAATATTACTTATTTTATTGAGAATAGTGTTTAAGTATTATACCAGCAACAACTTTTCTTTTCACTGAATAAATTTTCAAATATGCTCTTCCTGTGATCATATGCTAATTTGCCTTTTACCCAGTCACAGAATATCACAGCATTATTTTTTTAATGTTTTAACCCAAATTTTTTGTGTGAAAACAGAGTAACTTAACTCTTCATGTTCTCTGTAATTTTCCTCTTGTACTTTGCAAGATACTTACCAAGAGATGTCTCTGTATATTAGAAATACCTATAGGAGAGAGATCAAAAACGTGTCAAACTTTGCACGAGAGCAGAAGACTCTGGACCACAACTAGGTCATTCACACTGCTGATAATAGCAGCTTTCAACAAGCATCTTCTAAAAGAAAGTGACTGATGTCAGGTAGTTGCTGATCCTGACCTTTCTGAGACCTAATAGGAAATCTCTAATCTCTAATGTGCAATGGTATTCAACACCAGATGCTTTCAGTGGATGAGTTCTCTGAAAGACAAAACTTGCATAGTGGATGACTGCTGCCAACATGGACCTTTCCAATCAATGTTATTGTATGAAGGAAGAAGCTGTGGAAAAAAACATGAGTGTGCCTGAACCTTGAGTTCAAACAGCATTAAGTGGCCACAAGATTGCTATACCAACACAGTTTGAACTAACTTGAGTGACAGACTGGTATTCAGTAGGTTTCAGGTTTCTGCTGAAGGAGAGGCTGAGTCAATAACTTTACTAATAGAGGCTGCACAACCATTAGAATATTATTAGCATGCAGGTGATGGTGCACATTTAAGGTCTGATTTATAAGAGAATCCTGCAAATTATTCAGTCATTGAATCAAGGCAAGATTGCAAATATAAATATTTATTGTAGATGTTTGAAGAACTGATTATCCCTTTCAACTTGGGCTTGGTCCCTGGGACCGACCCATTAATTATTTTGTGCTTGTAAGTTTTCATGCTATACCTCCACCTGACAGCTCTATCTTATTGATCCTCTGGAACTTTGGGTTCCTCAACAGGTTGAGTTTCTGCTGACAAATTCTTAGTCACTCTCCCCAGCACACTTTCAAAGACAATCACAAGGGATAATTTTTGGCTTGAATGGGATAGCTTCTGGATTCTGTTAACAACATCAATAATTCTTTTTATTGCAATATATAGCCCTTCTAAAGACTTGCTTAATGTTGGAGTTCATTTTTTCCTCATAAAAGAAATTGTTCAGCCATATCATGCCATCTTGTAGAAATCCAGTCTTATCAGCAGTACCATCACAGTGACTTTTTGTTTTATCACAAACCGATTTAAGCCTTCCCCAAGTAAGTTATGCATGACATCTCTACTCGTAACATCCATGAGCTCATCCAACAACCTATCCCTTGAGATATGCTAAAGTGTTTGGCCTCACTATTCTCCAGTCAACAGGTGAAGAATTATTGCTAATAATTCCAGGTATGAACATTTCAATCCCTGGTAGTACAATGTATATCCTTCCTGTTGTCACTAAAAGTTCAACCTCTTGTGTAGTAAATGACACGTAGTGCAAGGGATTTCCTAGTCATAGATTGTGAAACTATTTGAAGCTATTTTAACCTTGCATTCATGTCTCCACATGAAATAAGTTACTAAAATGCACTCTTTCTTGATGTCAGTCACCCACACATTATGAGGTATAAAGAAGTCTCCTCCAGTAAGGGTAACTTCTAACTTTCCTCTTGCTGCAAATTTATGTCCACTTGCTATTCCTATTACCCTATCTTCTTTCTTCACCCCTGGAGGAAAGTTCCAATCTTTCATTACCAAACTGAGTCAAGCTAGTTTCTTTAAATAATCAACTTCTTATCTCATTTGGGGGCAGATATTGTATTTTCAACCAAGCTTTGACTCGTAGGCCCATCTAATTCCTGCTTGCTGGTTAGCCCTTTGTTGTTCCTTCAATCTTGTTGGGTTCAAAACTCATTCTTGGTGTATTAAGTTATTGATTCCTCAGTCTGCAGTGGCTAAATTTACCACATCTTTAAAACAGTTCCCTCTTTCTGGTATGCTTTGAGTGGAGTTTTTATTTCCTACAAGCTTCCATTTACAGTTCCTGACAATATGTCAAGTTACACTTGAAACACCTATGGTTTTGTAGTTAATTCCCCCATTCTGTGTAATTAGTTGTCTAACTAATCCTTTTAGTTCTTCTAGACTATCATCAACAGGAGTTGAGGTTTCAATACACAACTCAATCTGATTATCATATAGTTTCAAGAGGACATCTTTAGTTGTTTATCTGCAACTTTAATGGATTCTACACAGCTTCCTTTAACCCTTTGACTGTGGCTAATTTATTTTCCTTGTAATAATCCCACTTCTGATAATAATATTGTAACACTGTTGTTGGGCAGATTTCTTAATATTATTTGATGAAAATATGCAAAGTTCAGTTGACCACCTAGCAATAACAGGTTGATTTATTTTTTCTTTAACATTTCTTCTATCACTTGTACATAGTTGTATTTATAGGCCTAAGTTCATATACAACATTTCCACCTTGACCAGATTTAATCTCTAATTACGGAGTCCCACAGAATTACAGTTCTTGGCCATGGAAGTGTGTGAATGCAAATTTGCAGTTACTCATAAATAAATCTCTTGTAAACAAAATTATTGTACACCAAAATCAAATGAAAAATATATACAGTACTATTACACACTGAGTTTGCATGGTTTATTTCAAAGCAACCATACTCCCACTAGTTGAAAATCAACTATAATAAAATTGTGTTGATCACCAAAACTTTCTACCACCATACGACAGCAACCAGCAAGCAAATGTTAGAATCAAAAACAAAGTGTTAGCAAGATGTTGATGGACCAATAAGGGCCAGTGATACATCAAATGATAGCTCTCTTCATGCTCCACATTGATGTAGGTGGTTTCAATGTATCCAAAAGCATTTCCTATTTTAAACCACACAAACAAATCTTAAAACTATTAATATATACTTTTTAGTCATTGAATTTGTTGAAACAAAGCTATACAATAAACTTGCTGGTCCGTTTACTTAATGATAAACTAACATATATATATATATATATATATATATATATGTATATATATATATATACCCAAGTCGAACTGACAACATGCCAAAAAATGATGAATTGGATATACAAGTAGATGATATGTTGGCTTGGCAACTTATATCATTGGGTGTAATAAGACAATACGTTGTTCTGGCAACTGTCTGCTATACATCATATAATAGTTTAATTTACCTTAAAACCAACAAAAATACATCTCTCTTTTACTCTCATAGGCACATATGTAAGTTCATACTTCAGTTTAACATCTGGTTGTTAACGATTTTCATTTCATTTGTCAATTCACAGGTATGGGTTTTCAAAAGAAGTACATTATTAGGACTAAATTTTATCTCACCTTGTCATGGGTTTCATGCAATGTCTCAAGTTACCAGCCAAAACGATACTTTTATACCAAACACCAACATTTTGATAGTATTGTTCCAATAAGATGGTCGCATAGTGCAGAAGGTCTATTTACAGGTACAATTATTAATTGTTTTTCATTAATTACTAAATACATAATTGGAATTGTGGCATAGATCTACCAATTTGTGACAGTAGAACTCAATGGCGTGTAAATTATTTTTTAAGTTATTTTCTCTTATTTAAAAATCAACAAAACCCACCGACTCTAATGGTACTTCACCTAAACCGAATACGCTTACCAAAACAATTTCATGGCCAATCAATCAAGTAACTGAATATACAAAAAACTACACTGTACCAGTCATTCTGTGAAATATTTGGATTTTCAAGGGAGTCATTTACCAATTTAAATATGATTAACACTCAAACTACAACTACTTGGTATTTGTATGCTGAATAGTTCACTTTGACATTTTAGTACTACTGCAGTCTATAAACTCGTATGTATAACTAATGCCTAAATTTCAGTTATACAAGATTTTCGTGATGTTATCAAAAAAATTCTTGGTATTCTAGGTCTACTCCCACAAACTAGCTTAACCTTAACACCACACGCCCTCTATTTAACATCCGAATTAAAACAGTAAAATATATCACACAAAACTACGTACGTTATAAGTTATACCACGAGCACGGCGAAGGGAAATTGCTTAATTTCCAAATACCCTGGCTATTAAATCCCGAATCCTTACCCAAATTAGTAGTAAGAGTCAGCTTTCAATAAGACATTTTATTTTTAAGCATGTAATTTGTAGTTGTATATGTAAGCCTAATCGAAACGTCAGACCCAAATTCAATTTCAAACCTGCAAAAAACAACACAGTATGAATCCATCATCAATTTATATAACTAACTTAAAAATACTAACTGCTAAGAATTAAAGAAAGTCGAAAATTTTAACCTCACCTCTTATATAAAAATCAAACTGCCAACCGTTAGAGTTTCAACCGCTTTATATATAAAAAATTAAGGGTGTGTCGTATATTATAACTCATTGGTCTAACCCCAGCATCTTATATCATAAATTTTAATGTGATCACTAGAGGGCAGTATCAAAAAAGTACGTAAAATTTAAAAATGTATTATTGATTTATCCAATTACAAAAAATTGATCTCGAGAACATATCTTTTCTCTCTTTGGTTAAAAACAAACTAAGGAAAATCTCATATTTTTAGCTTTCTCTAGGTAGATTCAACGTTGGAATAATCTCAGCTATCCTTTAGTAAAAAGTTTTTGTTTTACTTACTCTTTCGTAAGGATTACTGCTGGCATTAATAATTTCATCTCTAATGCATAATCGAAAGCTGCTTTGTTTGTGCTGATGCTTTGCCATTTAATGTTTTTTTTTCTAGTAATAGCATAAAACAAATAAAATTTATTTTCTGCATACATGTTTTAGCAAAAAACCACGGAGTGACTGTGTTTCCGCAATACACGAGCAGACACAATTCGGATATAAGGTAATAAAGGATAAATTAACACCTCTAAGTAAAACTTCTGTTCAGTTTTAGTTTTTTCAACGTTTCAGGCAGATACCGTCCGCCAGGCATTTAATATCGTGTTAAATAGAAACTAGACAAAGAGAGAGAATCGTTTAGGTGGTAGAATTTACTTATGTTCTATTTACACGCATTGAACGTGGAGTACGTTAAAAATATTGTTTGAGAAAAATCATTCTTGAGTTGTTTTTTTCTTATAAACAGTATCAAAATTTAATAGGCCTAAAATTGTTGATATAAACCACGTTAACTGCAGATATTATGTGGCGTTTCAAATAATATTTTGTCTCTTAACTTCTAGCTTAACTGGTATTGAACAAAAGGCTTCTTGGGCAGTGACTTGTGGGATATAAAACTTAGATCTGATATTTTATTTTCATAAGTCTTTGATTTATAATTTGCAATGGACAAAGTGAGAGGATTTTGGAAAAAAAAACAATATCATCTGAATTTGAAATTATTTTTATCACAAATTTTTAGGTTTATTCGTTTTAATGTTTCGTCCGTTGATATATATATATATATCATTTTATTAGACTGCTGATACTAGCGTTAAACCCGACGCAAGGTCGTGTTTGCACGACTCACTAGAGAAATCTACATCTGATATAAACAATATAAGGATTGCTTGTGTTTTCGGTTTCATAAAATTAAAATAATATTATAAATTTAAACTATTTTACCACACAACTGAGCAACAATCAACTGGTTGTTATCTGAGTATCCTGATATTTAGATGAGAATTGTTAGCGGCGAGGTATTATTTGCTATTACTTATAATCCCCTTGATACCATCCCCCTATAGGTTAGTAAGAATTATATATTATACAGAAAATTTCTAACTGACTCAAGACTAACCCAACTACTGCTGAAATATTCACTATAAGAAAGTAAAGGGCATAACCTTAGTTATCACTCCATCACATGATTCGAAAATACAACACATAAATTTCTCCGCTATTGGAACTCACTAATGTGCTAGAAAAAATTGTTATACTTGTCCATACGTTTCAAACAGCACTACAGTTAGCCATAGTTTCACATTCCATATTAGGGGACTTTACATATGCACGTCATAACATGTCATTTACTGTATACGATGCAATAGATGTCATAACTTTTATATCGGAGAAACACCCCGCATGATCGATGATAGTTTTCGCGAACACAATTAGATCTGTAAGTGAGGATTTCACTAATGTCTCAGTTCCTAGGCATTCCAACTCCTCTGGCCATAACAGTGTCTCCGACACGTATGTCTGTCCCATCAAAAACGCACCACTCAATAAGTTTAAACGAGAAAACGTAAAACACGCATCATCTTCCAACTCAACAGCCCCCCCCCCCCCAACGTGGCACAGTGGTATGTCTGCGAACTTATACCCCTAGAAACCGGGTTTTGATGTGTAGGTTTGTGCTTAATAACAGATCAACAACCAACTCAACACCATATAAGGAAGATCTTTCAAATAATTTGTAAACAAATTTTTATGCAGTGAAACTTTTCTCTAGATGTGTTTTAATTACTATTTATTCCTTATTCAACCTCCTTTTCAACCTTACTTGATGAAGCTTTCCCTATCTTAGGAATATTCAACTTGTTTGTTATTTTATCATTTAGTGAATTTTTATTACTTTTTTGGCCCTCTCCTCAGTGGCACAGTGGTATGATATAATGAACCACCGAGAGCCATTCTATGATGCAGCTTGAGATTTTGAGAGATCTAGGGCAAAAGATACTTTGTACTTTGCATAATCCAAGGAATGAAGAATACTGGGGAGTATCATACACCACTGAAAATATGCAGAAGTGATGTTTATTGTCACATTCATATAAATATGTCAAGCAATAATGTAGACATTGTACCATGTGTTCTATCAAGAGGAAAACTAGCAATATCAGGGAGAATTCCAACAGAGAGTTGTAGGTTCTCTTTGTAAGAGAACCACTTTAGATATAGCTGATACTCTGACCAAAATTGACAGATCTAATCAGTAAGTGCTGATCATTATCACTTACTTTATTAGGTGGGCTGAAGCTTATATGTTGGCTAACATGTTAGAAGAGTTCATCACAGGTGTATTCGCAAAATAATAGATAACATGATTTGGAGCACCTGAGAAGAGATCTACACAGATCAAGGAGCCAACTTCAATAGCCAATTGTTTTCAAGCTGTGTCGAGTGACTGATATAGTGAAAACATGCACTTCATCATGTTATCCTCATTCTGATGGTTTAGTTGAATAGGTTATGCAAATTCTCAAGCTTAAGCTTGCAGAGTCTGTGGACTGTAACTGAACTGATTATGATAAGCATCTACTGTATATCATGATGTTTTACCACACAACTGAGCAACAATCAACTGGTTATTCTCTGAATATCCTGATATTTAGATGAGAATTACAGATCCCAGTACATTTCATAAAAAAAATCTTACACCCATTGCAGATGCACCATAGTATTCATATACATATGAGGAACGGCAGTATTCTGCAATAGCTTATACCCATAAATATATGCATCAACAAGTGGTTATGGTGGCTATGCACCAGAAGAGATACTATAAGAAAGCAGTGACAGAACGAAAATTCAAGCCTTGTCATTGGGTTTGGCTGTGTACTTGACCATAGTGCATAAAAACATAGTTCTGGTTGAACCAGTCCTTATCTTGTCTGTAAATGTGAACTATAAGTTATAGTATTTGCATATAGTGCATCAAACATGCTGGTAAACTTAAACTCTACATCATTGCTGCGTCTCCTGAGAATTAGTTACTCCATGAATCAGAAATGGAAGAATAAGTTGACCTAAATGGCGAAAGCAGTGTGTGTCACTTGATCTCAACTCATGCTATGAGGATAAAGAAATTAACACTAGATTTCTGGCTGTCCATGAAGAGGTGGATGAGGAATCACTGGCGAAGAAACAGTTTGTTTCTCTTATCACTGGCCAGGATGTCAAAGTCGACCTCCTAAATATTATGGCTGGGAGTAATTGCTTGACCAACACTAAGGATAGTCAGTTAATTGAAAAATCGGCGTGTAAAAAGAATTAACATTTCATGCTTTTTTGATCTACCAAGCAGAATTCATAATTAAATGTCTATGGGACTTCATGTAATGGCTGTTCATTCATTATACAGCTAGGACAGTTGGTTGGATTACAGACCAAAAACTGAAAAGAAAATGTGACCCTTGCTTTCCAAACTATCAAAAATATTAGGTAGTAGGATATAAGAATGATGTCCTACAATAATGTTTATTACTTCAATTATATAGATGAATAGTAGTAGCATTTGTGTATAGTAGATAGTGCATTACTCAAAAGGTATAAACATAGGACAAATAAGGTTGTTACGCAAGATTCTGGGAATTTTGGATTTGGTCTCATCTTTTGATGACAGCTGGGAACTTTGACAAAACAATTTGTGGAAAGAACTTTGCATTTTTGCTTTCTAATCTTGTGCCAACGACAACAGAACCTCGTTTTGTTTTGCAATGCGAAATTACACCTGATTGTGTGGGAGGTCCATACAGGTCTTCTTGAATTGCAATAGGGAAGTTGTGGTGTAACAAAGTCTAAGAAATTGACCTGAACTGAATAAATCAGAGCAAAATGTGTATCCGTTTGCTAGATGTTTGTGTAATTTATTTTTGTGCTTATCTAGTGCAGTGTGTATTTCATGACCTCAAGATGAGAGTATGAATAGGAAAACAGCAATTTGGGTTGATTATTACATTATGATGGCAAAAGCAACTTTTCTGCCATGTCTTGTGCACCTAGTATGTTGGACTGTACACACAAACACACACACATATATATATCCTCTGTATATTCTCTAATTGACAACATGGAATTTCATGTGGATGGACGGGTACAACAGAAAAGGCCATTTCTTCTTATTTCCATCCATGATGAATTTTGTTTTCGTCATATCGTTCGAGTTGTTTTACCCATTAGTTTGTGCCTGAGAGTGTATGTGAGCATTAGAACAATTGAGACTAATGTTGGTTGTGATAATTATCCGGATTGCTATCGAACAGTGATGCAATTTACTGTAGGTATATGTCGATTAGTATGTTATATTTAAATACCTATGCGTGTATTATATATATAAACCAGTTTGTATATATTCAATTATGTACATGAATGTAATACATACAAGAACACAATGTTTCAGGCAAATTATGAATTTGGTTTGGGTATTGAGATATGCATAATTCTTGAAGACTGCAATGATTAGCCTATGCAATATTGAAAAACAAATCAGCTTAGAGTTGAGGCAAAATATTGGCAAATGTGATAGTTCACTGAATGAGAGATAGATAGATAGATAAAACTGCCAGGGTAATTGACGTCTCATCAATTGATTGAGAGACATGGTAGATCACTGGTTTCATTCATAGTTGTAAAGGAATATTTCACAGTTGAGGCAGCTGGAATATTCATAGATTTTTATGATTTAGTTTTTATAAAGAGAAATCACGATAACGTGGTCATTA